GAGTCCAAAGTCGTTCCAGGACAGAAGGCTGGAACCGATGGCATCAGCTCCAAGCTCAGGGATTATGGAGGCAGGAAGCATGAGGGTCCCTGACTCAATAGTCCACTATTCCCAGACATCTTCCCTTCCCCTGAAACATGAGTGGCATGTTTCCAGATTCCTTCAAGAGATGGTTCTTTTAAGATTCAGCTGAGGAGCTTCATGGGGCCGCCACCACTAGGAAGCCATGTCTGACCTTCTGCTCAACCCATTTCAGATCAGGTGCCCTCACAGCACCCTCCCCTTCTCCCTGTCAAAACATCTGTTGTACACTTTGCCATTGTGGTTGTTCATCCCCCTTTCCCCTATGAGCCTGTGAGTTCCTGAAAATAGGTACTTTATTTTGCATCGTGTTTTTTTTACCCCAGCACTTGGCAAAATAACAGGGCCTCATACATGTTTATTAAATGTAGGCCTTTTCTTCTTCATTCTTTCCCTCTATCCCTCCTTTCTTTCTTTTTTTCTTCTCTTTTTTCCTCTTTGTCTTTTTTCCTTCCTTCCTTTTCTCTTTTCCTCCCTCCTTTCCTCCCATGGTACTTCTCAGAGAGCCAAAAGGGCAGAAATATCTATCTATATATATTTTATAAATCATAATATCACAGTAATCTTGTTTTAGTTGCCTCTGGGCATGTCTGTCTCTGACACTCTCTAGCATTGGTGGACATTCAAAGCTGACTTTCTTGGGGTGCTCTAGTAGATGTTGAAATCCTTTCTGGTAACATTCAGTGGCATTTTCCACGACACAGGATGTCACTGGCTGGACTTAAATGTCGTACTTCAACCCCTGTGAATCCAGCCAGCTCCCCTGCCATCCCTACATGAAGTGCTCTTAGGCAGGCTCTGGAACGGCTTGTGTCATCTCTCTCTTCTACATGCTTCGTCTGATCCCCCAAAGTCTCGTCTGGCCCTGAGCATTTGCTTATCCTTGCCCCACCAATGATTCACATGTAGCTAGTTCACGCCTTTCTGCTCTGCTGTTTCAGACCGATCCCTAGAACCTCATCTCTGTACCTTCACCAGGCACCCAAGGGGGTATACAGATAAGACTTACAGTACGTCTTTTCCAAAACCCTGGCTCTACTCTCAAACTCCTCATTTGGATTCTTGGATTTCAGTCCTCTTATATTCTGCATGTGTGGGGTGGTCTATGGGCACCATCTTCTTTGAGGGTCTCACCTAAGTGGCCTAATATTTCACTTTGGTACCTGAGACTATGGTCTTGTTCTTGATCTTTGGGAGTCTCAGTCATAATGTAGACAAAGAGCGTCCCATCTTAAACATCTTTACAAAAAGATGATGCTCACATTAGCCTCAGCAGCAGCACTTAAGAGCAAGGAAACCTTCAATCAGCTAAACAGAAATGCTGGTACACATAAGAAGCAACCACTCAGCAGTAATCTTGCAAAAAACAAAACAAAATCCAAAAATGCCAAGAAGGCATTCAGGAGGAGGAACAGATGGGAAGAGGGCTAGCCAGCATGTGTAATTTGGGAAACAGGACAGAGGTCACAGCTAAGATATAAGAAATCAAAGTTCCGCAAAATATGCAGTAAGATATATGTGATACCCAAGCCAGAGCAAAAAAAAATAACCAGGCTCATTTCTGCAAGGAGTATGCAGTGTTGGGTGTTTAAAAGGCCACTGGACTAAGCATGGAGCAACTTGGCATTCTAAACGAGAGGTGGGAAAGTATTTAAGATCTTAGACTTTGGAGATAAAAGATATTCATTTTTAATATACTTTCTAGCTGTTTGACTTTGAACATGTGATAACGCTTCACTTGGCCTCAATGTCCTCATCTATACAATGTGGGTCACCAATGGCACCTGCCTGGGGAGTTTTCCAGAGGATGAAATGAGGTGCTATTCACATAACCATCTTATTGAATTGATTCTATTCCATCAATAGGAAGCAATCATGAAGCAACTTGATTTCAATTAAGCTGCCCCTTAAATCCCACATGGATAACTAGCTCTTTTTGTTGGCTTGTTGGAAATTTTAATCAAGTCCCATAGCTTTTTTGGGCCCCTCAATCTCAAGAAAGATCTCATTTTAGCTATGAAATTTTCCAGGCCAGCGACGTAATCAAAACTTCTAATTAGATTTAAGGTTCTCACCTCCCCAGCTCAGTGCTGCTTTAGGCCTGGAAGCCTGCAGCGGATGGGGCCTTGTTCACTGCTGGTACTTCCCCCAACTCCCAGCGCCCTCCCAGGTCTGGCTGATGGGGAGAGATGAGGTGAAAGGGCATAGTGTTAAATGGCCCTTTCTCTCTTGACCTGTGCTGGTGGCCCTGGGTTTGGAAGACATTCAAAATTGACTCCTCTCGTGGGCACATTTGTAACTGTTTCCAGGGACTCTTTTACAAAGACCTCCAACTGCAGCTTGCTGGAAGCAGGCAAAGCTTCTCCTCCTCATCCTGGTTGACTGTAACTCCTCTCCCCATGCCTTGAGTATCTGGTGGGTCTCTTGTGCTGGGTCTCTTTGACCCCTGCTCCTACCCAAAAGCAGCCCTTTCAAGAGTGCTCTGGCCAATTCTCTCCAACGAGTCCATGGGTAAATTCACAAACTCATATATCCTTGATCACTACCCCTGCTTCAAGGGTTGCTTGCTCTTCACCCCTGGCCCTGCTCTGCCAAACCAGGCATGGCCTCTCAGCTTTAGGTTCTCAGGCATATGTCATATACCTGGACTCTATGTCTTCTGAATTCCAGGACATATCTATTAATCTCTCTGAGTGGTTCCTTTGAAACACCTCTCAACTATGGAAGGAGGGACATGCAACACACAACTAAACAAATTCTCTTTCAACTCTTCAACTCTAGTCTTCAAGAACATAGCCATTCATACTGGACTAACCTAGTTTAGAATCTCTTACAGGTCCTGCTTAGGTGATCCAGCATCTTGCTTTAGAACATATACTTCTTGCTAAATATCAAGAGTGTTCTAGGATTTAGTCCTCTATCAAAACTCCATGACAAGAGGAAGAGGGACACCCTCCTGCCACATCTAGTATCCCACCTGACACATGAAGGTATGGAGGCTGTGACTGTATGCTCCTTCTTTTTATACCTGGAACCGTGGGTGAACCATTTAAAATCAGTGAATTTCAGTTTAGAACTGAGATAATATCTTTCTTGTCAACTTTATAACTTTGTTGAGACTAGCAAGAAAACAAGATGAATGAGCAAAGTGCTTTATATACAAAAAAAATCTATAGAGAAAAATATTACCTTCTCTTAAGATATGAGAAAAGCAGTTTTATCAGCAATAGTGACTCCTTGGTCTATTTTTCTTCCTATCTAATACATACTGCAAACCTGGTAAAGGAAGGATACGTTTTCAATGACCATGAACAAATGTCATTGAGAAGGTTAATATCTTATTTATGCATCTTATATTAAACCTAAAGTTTGACTACTGTAATGCATGGAATATAAGGAATGAATGTTGAGGTTCCTACACCTCATGTTTCACTTCATCTCACTTCCTCCAATAACCCAGAGACCAAACACATTTTTATTTAGAAATCAAAAATAAATGTTTTTTAAGGGTCCAAGACTCTAAGTGCATGCCAGGCAATGCCTGCCTTGCCCAACCTGCTCTTGTCCTGACTACAACCCTGTGCTCAGGAAAGCAGGGTTAAACTGGATTTGGGGGAGTGGGGCAGGGTGGCCATCGTTTGAGTTAGGTACCAGACTAGAGAGCTTTATCCATGTGTGAGCTAATGACCAATGAGCCGGCCTGGTGCAGAGGCGAGAAGGTAGGGTGGAAACTGAGGAAACCATCAGAATGCCCCTGAGAACTGAGCTGTGAGGCAAGAGGACAACTGAGAAGAGAAAAAACAGAGATGCCAAGAGAGACTCTCTGTGTGTGACAGAGAGAAAGAAAGAGAGACCGTCTTGCTGTCTTGGTTCTTTTAAGTTCCTTGGTTCCATATCCAGACAGCTGCATCTTTATAATAAATCCCCATTTTTCAGAATATCCTTACTATTCTCTGTCCAATGCAACTATAAGAGGAAGGAAGGAAACAGCATGGGCCCCGTAAAGCTAATTCATTTCCATCAAGCTGGAGAACGGACAACCTTCTAGAACTGTTCCCAAAGCAGAAGTATGAATCTTCCTAGGCCTGCCCTATTTCAAACTAGCCTAGCCTTTGGGGACAGAATGTGATACAAACCCAGTTTTTTCAACACGTTCACATGTGCCCTTGCCAAATTACCAGCTCTTCAGGCCCCAAGACCATCCTGTTAAGGTTGAATTGGGTCTTCAACTAGCCCCAGAGCTCTTAGCATTGTAGAACACAATTTGGGGGTCTTTGTGGAGCTGAGTTCCTGCCTCGTACTGACTGGGTAGAAACCCAAATAGCCAAGCAGTAAGCGATTCACAGCAATTCAAATAAGAATTACATATGCAATGAATGTTCTTTTTGTAACTGGATCATACAAATAGTATAAGGATATTAGCATGTTGAATTACAACTCTGCTACCTAACAAAAGACTTGAAATCTAAGACCTAGGTTTAAACTCTTACTCTTCCATTTCCAGTCCTGTGTGACTTTGAGTATGATGCTTAACCTCTAGAAGTTCCTATCCATCTATAAAATAGAGATAATAATACCTACTGCACATGGTTATGGTGAAGGTTAAAGCAAACCCCTAGCAAGATGTCACAACTGCAGCAATAGTATCACAACAACAGTAATAATTTTTTGAGCACCTGCTCTGTGCCAAGCTGAGGTAAGCACTTTACTTGCTTTATCTCATTTTATTTTCCTGATAGCTCTTTGAAGGAAGCACATTTTAAAGGTAAGTCACTGAAGCACACCATGACTAAGGCATGTGCCTAAGTGACTAACACAGCTACAAGGATGGCACTGACAAAGTGCTCTTCCCTTTATTTTGTCACTTGTCACAAGGGGGAAGGTTGCAGACTTTTAAATAATTATCAGCAACTACTCACTTGGGATTCATCAGTTCCAAGTCTCCGATATGTTGAATTACATAGTTTTTTGACCTCCTCGGGACCCTCTATATCATAATCTTTGGGATATGCTTCTCTGTTCCGGTGCCTGAAGAAAAAATTAAGAATCTGTTAACAGATAAAGCCTATTTATCATGTATTACATTTAAACCTAAAAACAATTATTCAATAAAAATATACTATATTCATGATATTATTTTAATTATAAATTTACTGAATTTATGACCTATTTTCCATTTCTTTTTCAGTAGTGCTGAGGTTACTTCCTAAAAACAACTTGGCACATGCGGCAAAACTAATATCACAAAAACAATACTTAGCAAACAGCAATTATTCGGTGTCTCCAATGAAGTGAATCATGTTTAATAATACAGAGTAGTTACTGAAAGTAAATTCTAAAATAAGACATGGTAATATCTTAGAAAGGCAATTTGCCACTTTAGACATTTTTTCTACCATGAATTTTAATTGTAATTTTTTTTCAAAATGAGAGAGAACAGATAGTATTTGCTCATACGAATTTATAACATGTGCTCCTGTTTCTAAAGAGAATCTAAAGGAAACTGACAAACGTAAGCTAGAAACAAACCAAAACAAAACATGTAGATGGAACAGAAAAAATATTCCAAACATCTTTTCTATAAGACTGGTTAGAAATAATAATAAAGGAGAAACTTGGTGATTGGGAAGAAAAAAAGAGGTGAAGTGGCCTGCAAGAGAAGTAGCTATTTTCCTAAAGCTTTCCTGGGTAAGAAGAAGGAAGCTGAACCCAAGCACCCTTCAGAAGGGGACTTTTAAAGGATACAGGGATAGAATTGTGAAAGGGACACTGAGGTACCCCAAAATTTCTCTAACCATTTGTCCCTTCATTCAGCATGTATTTTTAGTACTTACTACATGCCAGACATTTTGCTTGGTACAGGGGATGCAATGGAAAGCAAGCCTGATGTCGTCCCTGCCTTCGGTTGCTCACAGTGTGGCAAGAACAACAGACAATTTAAACAAGAAAAATCTGCAACACGCTGAGTGAATGTGGTCACAGGGCTGTGGAAGCAGGAGAGCATCCGCACACCCACATGGGGCACCCAGCGTCCAAGATAAAAGGCCGTTTAGGACCTGACCTTCATCTTGGCCCTTGCACTGCATTCAAATTACACCCTTACCCCCGACTCCAGCCCCCAAACTGCCAACCCCTGCTCTGAGCACTGGGAGCAGAGTTAAATACACAGCAGCAAGGAAGCCAGGTTGGAGTAGCCGAGCTCCAGCCCTCTTGCCTTTCTCACAACTGAGCATTAATTTTAAAAACACTAAAAGCGTTTTGTATGATACTAGCATGGTCTGAGACTGACAGAAAACTCTCATGTAAGTCCTTAGAAGGTATATTGACCATCAAGAACCAAGTTGGTAGAGGTAATAATGGCATGTGTTTGAGTTGTTGCTAAGCCAGGTCCTGGCTGTGTGATCTTAGGCAAGTTATTAGACCTTTCTGTGCTTCCATTTTCACATATGTAAAATGAGAACATAAACAATAACAATAACTTTTTAGATTTTTATAATTAAAATGAAACAAATAAAGGCAGGAAGTCCTTCAAACACTGTAGAGCTCTATAAACAACTCTGTAGAGTAAATACTAATCGGGCTTCAGAAAACTCCAGTGTATAAGAATCATAACTTAATTTTTCCATAATTTCACTTAATTTCCATAATTTCACAAAGCTCTCATTTTGCAGGTGGAAGACGTTAGTCTTGGTCAGTTCTGGATTCCTGCCAGCTCTAAAGCGTCCACGTGGTGCCCCGGTGCCAAGAATCCATCTTTGTTGTCATCGTCTCTCCTTGGCTGCATTTGTGGAAACAGCCTCATTCCCCTGTGCTTTCCCATCATGGACCCATGCAGATCTCTGCTGTGGCTTCCTGGTCCTGCCAAACAGCTGTTTGTGGAGACTGGCACTGAGACACAGGGTGCCACTTGCTACCCTACCAAAAACTTTCTTGTGTCCCTCTCCGCCCAGGGTCCCTAGATATCCAGATGTTGTCTCTGGGCTGTTTGCCCGGCCCAGCAAGCAGGCAGGTGGTTCATGTCCCTACCATCCTGGGCCTGGGGGACACACAGGAGCACTGCCCGCAAACATTACCCTGGAGATAGAGGACTAGACAGTGATACGTCCCACCTGCTCTTGGATTTCCAAAGCCTTAGTTCAAATTTAGTACCCGGGACAAATTCACATGTTCTCAACTTCTCTGCCTCCTCTATCTTCAGTCCATGAACTCTTCATCTACTATGAGATAGGGTGGCCCAGCTCTTCATTTGTTCTTCCAAATCTATGTTGTCATCATAAGGTCTAAGCTTTTAAACCCCAAAGGCAAAAATATGCCTCTTTTGCCTGCTGGGTCATTCTTCCCTGAGGCAATAAAACAAGAATACTTCCTTAAGAGCATAGGAATTAAGGGGAAATCACCAACTAACACTTCAATGTATTATTCCCAGGGCCCATCTCTCTCTCTCTCTCTCTCTCTCTCTCTCTCTCTCTCTCTCTCTCTATCTTTAATGTTTATTTATTTATTTACTTTTGTAACAGATGTTTCTCCTTTTTCCCCCCATTGACACCCGCCCACACCTCAGCATGATTGTCTATGTCCTTGTTTATGCATACATGCTTATAAGTTCTGTGGTCTATCTCTTCCCTCCCCCCACGTCCACCTATAATGAGGTTTGTCAGTCTGCACCCCACTTCTATGTCTCTGGGTCTATTTTGTTCATCAGTTTGTTTTGCTCATTATATTCCACAAATGAGTAAGATCATGTGATTATTTGTCTTTCTCTGATTGGCTTGTTTTGCTTAGGATAATACTCTCGATGTCCCTCCATGTCGTCTCAAAGGATGAGATCGTTCTTTCTTACAGCTGCATAGTGTTCCATTGTGTATATGTACCACAGCTTTTTTGTCCACTCATCTATTGATTGACACTTGGGCTGTTTCCAGATCTTCGCTATTGTAAATAGTGCTGCTATGAACATAGGGGTGCATATATGCTTCCTGATTTGTGTTTCAGGCTTCTTAGAATATATTCCTAGAAGTGGGATCACTAGGATCAAACGGCAGTTCAATTTTTAATTTTTTGAGGAAACACCATATTGTTCCACAGTGGCTGCACCAGTCTGCATTCCCACCAGCAGTGTACTAGAGTCCCCTTTTCTCCACACTCTCGCCAACACTTGTTGTTTGATGATTTGTTGATGGCAGCCATTCTGGTAAGTGTCTCATAGTTGTTTTAATTTGCATCTTTCTGATGATAAGTGATGTTGAGCATTTCTTCATATGTCTCTTGGCCATTTGTATGTCCTGTTTGGAGAGGAGTTTCTTTAGGTCCTCTGCCCATTTTTTAATTGGGTTCTTTGTCTTCCTTTTGTTGAATTGTATGAGTATTCTATATATTTTGGAAATTAGCCCCTTATCTGAAGTATCATTGGCAATTATGCTCTCTCATATAGTGGGTTCCCTTTCCATTTTGATGGTTGTTTCTTTTGCTGGGCAGAAGCTTTTTAGCTTGATGTAGTCCTATGTATTCATTTTTTTTTTCTTTATTTCTATTGCCTTAGGCATTGTATCAGTGAAAATTCTGCTGCATGTGATATCTGAAATTTTGTTGCCTGCATTTTCTTCTAGGATTTTTATGGATTCATGAGTCACAGTTAAGTCTTTTAACCATTTTGAGTTTATTCTTGTGTGTGGTGTAAGTTGGTAGTCTTGCTTCATTTTTTTGCACGTAGCTGTCCAATTTTCCCAACACCATTTATTAAAAAGACTGTCTTTACTCCACTGTATGCTCTTGCCACCTTTGTCAAATATTAATTGAGCATAATGACTTGAGTCAATTTCTGTGTTCTCTGTTCTGTTCCATTGATCTATATGCCTGTTCCTGTGCCCATACCAGGCTGTTTTGATTACTGTGGCTTTGTAGTATAACATGATATCGAGTATTGTGATCCCTCCTACTTTGTTCTTTTTCAAGATTGCTGTGGTTATTCGGGGTTGTTTTTGGTTCCATATAAAATTTTGGAGTATTTATTCTAGTTATGTAAAATATGTTGTTGATATTTTGATGGGAATTGCATTGAATATATAGATTGCTTTGGGGAGTATGGACATTTTAATGATGTGAATCCTTCCAATCCATGAACAAGGCATATGCTTCCACTTTTTTATATCTTTCTCTATTTCTTTTTTCAATGTCCTGTCATTTTCTGTGAATAGGTCCTTTACTTTTTTGGTTAAGTTTATTCCTAGGTATCTTAATATTTTTTGCCACAATGGTAAGTGGGATTGCTTTTTTCGTTTCTCTTTCAGTGAGCTCATTGTTGGTGAATAAGAATGCCTTCGATTTCTTGACCTTAATTTTGTATCCTGCACTTTGCCAAATTCATTTATTAAATCTAGTAGATTTTTTATGGAGTCTTTAGGGTTTTCTATATACAGTATCATGTCATCTGCAAATAATGACAATTTCACTTCCTCCTTTCCAATGTGGATCCCTTTTATTTTTTCTTCCTGTCTGATTGCTGTGGCTAAGACTTCCAGTACTATGTTAAATAAGAGTGGCGAGAGTGGGCATTCCAGTCTGGTTTCTGTTCTTAAGGGAAATGCTTTTAGTTTTTGCCCATTGAGTATGATGTTGGCTGTAGATTTTTCATATATGGCCTTTATTATGTTGAGATATAATCCCTCTATTTCCACATTTCTTAGTGTTTTTATCAGAAATGGGTGCTGGATTTTGTCAAATGCTTTTTCAGCATCTATTGATATGATCATATGGTTTTTATCTTTCATTTTGTTTATGTGGTGTATCACATTTATTGATTTGCAGATAGTGACCATCCTTGCATCTCTGGGTTGAATCCCACTTGGTCATGATGAATACTTTTTTTGATGTATTGCTGGATCCGATTTGCTAATATTTTGTTAAGAATTTTGGCATCTGTGTTCATCAGGAATATTGGCCTGTAGTTTTCTTTCTTTGTAGTGTCTTTATCTGGTTTTGGAATTAGAATTATGTTAGCCTCATAAAATGAGTTTGGAAGTGTTCTGTCT